CCCCAAAACCCCAAAACCCCAAAACCCCACTTAGTTGCATTTTAGTACTAGAATAGAATAACTAAACAAAAAATAAATAAAAATCATGATGATATTATTGACATAAAAATCTCTGAATTATCTGGAAGACTTATAATTTAATTAGTAGATTCTCTAAGAGTAAAAAGACTTTATATAGTTAAAATAGACATCTTCATATAAACTATTTTCAACTAAGATATCCCCAAACATTTTTCTTAAAGTCGTAAGTATTCTAAAATTTTTACTCCTGAAACCATTAGATATAAAATTAGAGTAATAGAGTTATAATAATTTTTATTGTCTTACTAATTCTCCTTGTTTCAAAAGGGTTCCAATTAGACTTAAATTCGCTAATAATTTCAATATAGTATTAAGATTAATCCTGCTACATTAACGAGAAAAAAGTCCTGTAGACATTACAAATAATATACAAGAGCGATACTGAGAGTAGGAATTTTCCAAAAATTATTGAATGGGGTTATACTGGCTAGTAAATAAATTCTACACCCGTGACAATGGGAGAACCAGTATAACATAAATAATAATCAGATAAAATTCCGAACAAAAAGCAGAGATCAAAGTCAAGGAACAATAAGTCAAAAGAAAAAACTAAACAGGGCAGATCCAAGGAAGATAAGAATATAAAGAAAAGTGATGAGGAATAAAATGATGGTGCTGCAGAAAAATAAAGGGCGTAATAAAATAACCTGCAAATAATGGTCCCTGATTCTAGTGAGAAGCTTGAACCGTATTTGCTGATAGAGTACAATTTTGTTGAAAACCTAACGTAAAAGATAAATTAAATGGAGTAGTCGCTTGATATTACATCAATAGCCATCCTTGGACTATAAATAGTATACTTCTTTTTTATTCATTATTTAATAGATTCAATTATTAGAATGTATTCATGACTCAGGATATGTGTTTGGAAATAATTTTTCTCTTTCAAACATCGTATTCAATTAAGATGGCAGCTAATCTTCGTTATTTAGCTATGAAAGATGCTAAGAATATATAGATATTAAATCTTCTTGCCATTTTGTTTAGCAAAGAGGTAAATAGTTTTCAGGAGACGCAAAATTTGCATCAATAAGTCAAATGAAAATGAATTCACCGTCCACAAGAAAAGATGACTTGATAAATATGTTCTACATGCTGGTATATTTAACGAATTTAGACTTGCCATGGTGTGACTATTTATTTTGTATGCCCTGTAACTCATAGTAGAAAACGTTTAGAATGGTACTCCAAAAAAAACAAGAGACTACTTTATCAAAACTTGCAAAATTATATCAATTGCCTGAAGAATTTTAGATTATTGGAAACGAAATTGAGCTAATGAAGTTTAATTCTTATCCCAACTATACTATGATACAAAAGCATTTTAAAGCAATAATAGACAAAGAAAAGCCGAATCAGCAGGTTTTTAAATGGAGGAGATAGCAAATTAATGACTAAAAATGGTATGCTAAGGTGCTTTCTGGAATTGAGCAACTTTTAATTAATCAATCTGATTTTGATTCATAGTCTGTCAACAACCTAGAATCAAAAGAAATTGAACTATCGATGAGAATTGACAATTTTTAACGCAATGAAGACAAATATAAAACCTAGTAGAATGAACCATTAAGAGTGAGTACTTTTAATTATCATAAGCATCTATATGACGAATCTCATGTTAGCGAAACCATTCTTAATAAAACCGATCATACTTCAAATAATATAAGTTAAAATAGAACAATAAATAACTTAATGCAAAAGACACAAAAATCTTAAATATTCACTTCTAAACTTACTGATGACAACATTTAAAAAAGATAAGAGAGATTAGATTCTTCTAACTGTTAATGATTAATACGACATTGAACCTTTAACCGAAATAATATTAAATTAATAGGTAAATTAAATAGGAGAAAGGTCTCCATTAAGCACTCATATAAATTAGCATTTAATTTTTAATTTATTCAATTTAAAGTTCTATACATAAAAACTTTCATAAAAAAATTATAGAATACTTTTACTGATGGGGTTTTGGGGTTTTGGGG